TTAAATATATAGATAGAAGTTCCTATTAACACAATTTATTTAATTGATATTAATTTATGATATAATCAATTGTTGGTTATTTTAGCGTAATTGGATTTATTTGAGACCAATGAATGTTGGGATTAAGTGAACTTCGGGATGAGATGCGTGGAGTGCGCACTCGAAGAAACTAATTTTGACATGATTTTGACAAGTAACAAAAATTCTGAGACAAAATGTAATAGCTAACTTAGTCATGGTCATGACTAAGTGGTACAGGCTATTTTGGAATTTTTCCTAAAATTTTAATGTCAAAATTGTGTTTATTTATGAATTGATGTGTCTAATAATTTTAAATTATGAATTCAAACTTTTGTTTGAATTGAATCAATACATCAATTTATTTTGAATTCAAATGAATATTTGAATTGAAAGAACACACCCTTTCTTTTTGAAATTGAAATTTAAATTGAACCTTTGTATTTGTTCAATTTAAATAAAAGGTTATTTATGATCTATAAATAGATGATTGGTCTCATTTGCAGATATAAGAATTAAGAAAGTAAAAAAAAAAAAGGGATAATTGAAACAAGAAAAACACATTCAGTGTTTTTATCTTTGCAAGAAATTATAGCCTTCATACTCATTTTATTCCCTACGTTCACCTTGTCTCGATATTTTCTGCCAGAATTCGAGATTGAATTTTGTATTATCCCAGTACGAATATTGTGTAACCCTTGGTAGGAATTGGGTCAAAATATCGTATTCGAAAAGCTCATCACGATACAGAGTATGCACTTCCTTCTCACAACTTTGAAGGTCGTGTATGTCCTGAGCACTCCATGCCCCGAGGAAACCGAAGATGAATCTTTGGAGGCAACGCGTCGCAGGAGCAAATGGGAGAATGATGACTACATTTGTCATGGTCATATTCTCAACGCAATGTCTGATCCACTTTTTGATATTTATCAAAATTTGGGTTCAGCCAAGGAACTTTGGGAGGCACTCGAATCTAAATACATGGCTGAAGACGCTTCCAGCAAGAAATTCTTGGTCAACGACTTCAACAACTACAAGATGGTTGATTCGAGGCCTGTGATGGAGCAGTACTACGAGCTCCTTCGCATCCTTGGTCAGTTCATGCAGCACGACATGAAGATGGATAAATCCATTGTTGTTTCATGCATCATCGACAAATTGTCGCCTGCATGGAAGGAATTTAAGCGAACGCTTAAATACAAGAAGAAAGAGTTGACACTAGAAGAACTCGGAAGCCATCTGCGTATAGAAGAATCTATAAGAATGCAAGAAAATGATCAAGACAATGATATTGTATGACCATCTGTAAACATGGTTGATGAGCATAAAGAAAAGAATTTCAAGTTCAATCATGGTAAGAATTGCAAGCATTCTGAATCCAACAAAAGATCTACGAAGAAGTCAAAATTGGCTTTGTGGAAAATTCGGTCACCTCAAACGTGATTTCCGAGTTGGAAAGGGGAATCACCGTGCAAAGGAATCGACTTATTTTAATAAGTCGAATGAATTCTAATTACTGAAACTAATTAGAGGTTTATGTCTTGAGTCTCAAGACATTATGTAGATAGTTGATAATAATTACTGCAAGTAATTAGTAATTAATGTCTTAAAATGATTAAGACATGTTTGTATATAAATAATATATGATCGACATTGCGTAGATTGTCGAGTGTATGCTGTAACTTCAAGCATGTTAATGTTAAGTTACTTTACTTACATTCGGTTAGAATGTTTCTTTGATTTTATGGTTGAAGTTTGTGAAATAGATATTTTCAATATATGAAATTGATGCAATTGAGATTATATGAATTGAAACATCTGGAATTTTATACAAAATAATTTTCAAATAAGGTTATTGAGATTATTAGTAATCTGATTTTTATAACCTTACAAGTGAATTTGAAATGGATGTGAGAAATCTCCATGGATTGTTGTTGGCTACTAGATTAAGTGGCGATTACCAATATTGCCTTATATCATTAGTAGCGTTCGAAACGCCAACAAGAGTGCAGGTTGTCTGGCAGTAACAATTTGCACACCCATACTGCAATTGGGGAAGTTCCTCAAATTGTGTAGGGGATTAATATTAAAATACTGTTAATTATGGTTTTTCATATTTTGGTTTTCCTTCATTTTTGGAAGGATACTCGAACGCGAGTTGAATAAGCAATGCAGAAGATCATTCTTCCAACACTGGATGGACGTTTCTGCTTAGGGGAGGTGCAATTTGTTGGGCTTCCAAGAAGCAAACGTGCATCACAAGTTCTACGATGGAATCTGAATTTGTAGCATTAGCCGCGGTTGGAAATGAAGCTGAATGGATTCATAACCTAGTATATGAGATTCCGTTATGGCCGAAACCGGTGCCACCCATCTCTATTCGTTGTGATAGCGCCTCAACAATGTCTAAAGCTTATAGTGAAATTTATAATGGTAAGTCTCGACACATAGGTGTGAGACATAGCATGATTCGTGATTTAATCATGAATGTGGTGATATCGGTTGAGTTTATTCGGTCGGAACATAATTTAGCCGACTGTTTGATAAAAGAGTTGGCGAGAGACTTAGTGCACAAGTTGTCGATTGGGATGAGATTGAAGTCCATTAAGTTTTCCTAGTGTGAGACACCCAATTCCCTTCTAGTTTGACGCTTGAAGCTGAATTCAATGTGGAAAGCTCATATTGGGAAGATTGGAATGCATTTTATTCAAACATCCCGGGTATGCGTTCAGACCTGCAAGAACCGTAGGTTGAGATTTTATCTCTTAATAACTCCTTTGAAAAATTGCTTATGTAGGAGCGAGACTAAAGGAGCTACCTATACGACCATGAAGTTTTGCCGCTTCAAGAAAATTCGAACTTGCTTTCGATGTGCTTGCGAATGGATATGGACACATGGCTTGAAAAATGTCAAGTTAGAACCAAGGGAATTGTAAATTCGTGTGACTTTGCCTACATGTATTCAGATAAGTTGAAAGGGTTCAATCCTTAGCGACACCCTGATTCTCGAATATTTGTAACGTGTATTGTACTAATGCGAAAATTCAATCTTCATGACATTCTCGTTTATGCATGGATTTATTGTGTATGGTTGTGATTTAATTGTGAATAAATCAAGGATTACACTAAAATGGGGGAGGATTGTTGGTTATTTTAGCGTAATTGGATTTATTCGAGACCAATGAATGTTGGGATTAAGTGAACTTCGGGATGGGATGCGTGGAGTGCGCACTCGAATAAACTAATTTTGACATGATTTTGACAAATAACAAAAATTCTGAGACAAAATGTAAAAGCTAACTTAGTCATGGTCATGACTAAGTGGTACAGGCTATTTTGGAATTTTTCCTGGAATTTTAATTTCAAAATTGTGTTTATTTATGAATTGATGTGTCTAATAATTTTAAATTATGAATTCAAACTTTTGTTTGAATTGAATCAATACATCAATTTATTTTGAATTCGAATGAATATTTGAATTGAAAGAACACACCCTTTCTTTTTAAAATTGAAATTTAAATTAAACCTTTGTGTTTGTTCAATTTAAATGAAAGGTTATTTATGATCTATAAATAGATGATTGGTCTCATTTGCAAATATAAGAATTAAGAAAGTAAAAAAAAAGGATAATTGAAACAAGAAAAACACATTCAGTGTTTTTATCTCTGCAAGAAATTATAGCCTTCGTACTCATTTTATTCCCTACGTTCACCTTGTCTCGATATTTTCTGCCAGAATTCGAGATTGAACTTTGTATTATCCAGTACGAATTTTGTGTAACCCTTGGTAAGAATTGGGTCAAAATATCGTATTCGAAAAGTGAGCTCATCACGATACAGAGTTATATCCGGCCATTCTCGTTGTTAAAATCCCCAACATAAATATGATTAAAATAAATTTTAAATATGTATTTAAGTCCTGATATATGAGTTTAAATACATTAATGACGACTTATCATATAATTTTTAAAAGCCTACTTGAAAGAAGCAATATGCATGCACAAAAATAACTTGTGTTAAGCTACTCAGCGAACTGAAGTACAAATTTAAATAGTAAAAAAAAAATAAGCACCCCCTTTGAGGCTTTGAATGTATATAAATATACATTATTGAGAAGAATGAAAATAGATTATCATATATGGGTAGTTGATGAAATATTTAAGGAAAAAACAAAATTATCTTTTTTTGCCGTAACAAGATATCATTTTTTATGTTAATCCGTCCTAAAATAATTTTGTTTTTAATAATTACTAATTTAACATGAAACATACTTTACAATTTACAAATATATGTTATTTTATCCACCATTTCTTCATATATATATATATATATATAACACATATACATACATAGATATACTTAAGTATATCCACATTTATGCTTACCTATATATGACGTATTATTGTATTGTGATGGTATAATATAACAATATGAGACAGAAAATTATGGACAAACATACTCACTACATTGTATTCGACACACAGCTAGTTAGCCACACAAAGACTTTGGCCATTGAGAGACCCCAAAAGCTGTGAATATTCATATTCATACTCATTCCATTCCAGCATTAATTGTTTCATTTTCATACAACCTTGTCTCTGTCTTCTTGGCTATCAAATCAATCTGGTACCATCCAATATCCCAACACACACAAACACACGTGAGAATTAGCCATTTCTGTAAATGCTAAATTCATTCATTCTTCAAGTTGGTTGCCATGCCAGCACACATCCAGACGTGCAGGTAAAGTAGAGAAATAGAAAGAGAGAGAGAGAGAGAGGATGGGTTCAATCAAAGTTATATGATCCCACTCACCAAACAGATCATATCCATATAATGTGTTCACTAAACTAAACAGATCCTATTCGAAAACCAAAACATGACAATACAGATTCATTTGAAATGCAAACATGTGCCTTTGCTTTCTCTTTTTTGTTCATGGTCATGAAAATCATACAATGCAACAAGCAAGCAGCATGCCATGCTTCCTTTTCCCATCAATGGGGTCACGAAAAAAGGAAAAGGAAAATGAAAATTCAAAGGGACCATACCTTTTGTTTTTCTCCATTCATAGTGACAGAAGCCAGCCAAGGAAGCAACAGCTGTTCCCAAACCATGGAAAAAGGCAGTCCAGCACACTAACTCTCATACCAGAAACCTCCAAATACCATAAGTGCAGGTAGGGTTGCCTACCTTGCCCATGATTATTTACTTGCCCCTGCTGAGTGGTGAATTTCCTATTCCTACCCTGTAATTAACCACAACGAGAAAAAGGGGAATGTGGGTTAAAGGACACCCATCTCTATAAATAGATAGTTAGACACTCATCTGAAGCCCAGTAGAAAACTTGGCAAGGCAATGATATACACAAAAATGATAAAGCCCCTGTCAGTATTGCTTGCAGCCATTCTATTCATCCAGGTATCGTTCGTTCATCAGATGTCCTCCACTGGATTTCCTGTATCTCTTTGTTCTGTTAGCCATTTCATCTGCATTGTGACGTTTTTCAGGTTTTCCTGGAAGCCTCATCATTCAGTGATGCTGCAAGTCCCCTTCTGCAGGTGGTAAACATTTAGTTATAACTCAAAATTGCTTCTCAGTCTATTTACTGAAGAAAGTATAGGTGCTGATACAGCAGGAGGATGTGGGAAGAAACTCTGCTGGCTTTCTCACAAGCCACCAGTCTAAGATCAGTAAGTTTCTTGTCTCAAGTAAATAACATAGCTATAATCCACTTTCATATAATATATATTCTCTGATGAAATGCATATGCAAAACTGGGATGGCAGACTGTGATTCTGAATGCAAAAGAAGATGCAGCAAGGCATCAAGATTTAAGGTTTGCTACCGTGCCTGTTCAAGCTGTTGTGCAGATTGTGGCTGCGTGCCTCCAGGGACTTATGGAAATAAAAACGTTTGCCCCTGCTATGCCAACCAAAAAACACATGGAAATAAGCCAAAGTGTCCTTGATTATGCCATAAAAGCTTTCAGTTTGTGAACCTGAACCGGATTAGAGGGAGAGAGAGAGAGAGAGAGAGAGAGGATTGTGAGTGTCTGTGTGAAAGAATACACGAATGAAGGGGCTTTGACCGCATCTGGCTGTCAAAACCTGCAAATTTGTAATAAATGGGCGATGCCGCTGTGTAAGTATTGTTATAAAAACACTGCTAGTATTATGAGAATGGGGTCTGGATTTGCTCACCTTTTAGCTCCCAACCATTTGAGACAAAATCACACAGAGAAACTGCAGCACTCTAATCTCAGCATCTTTGATTTCAAGAAATGGGATTGCAAACCCAAAACTGCAAAACTATCAGCAAAACACAAATCAGAGTTAATATCCATGCTTGCTTCTTATCTCCAAACAGTTACATTGAGTTCTATTATGAAAAGCAACCCATAAAATTATAAAGCATAATGAATTGGTGATGAGCAGCAAATACCTGACTCCAAGAAGCAGTGAAATTGTGTGAGAACATTGAAGAGATTAACATAAGTTGCAGAGGACATGGACAAATCCAACGGTGGCAGATGCCAAGGGTAAATATTCTATATACAAGTAAATGACACAATGAATTGGTGATGAGCAGCAACTACCTGGCTCCAAGAAGCTGTGAAATTGTGTGTGAACATTGAAGAGATAACATAAGTTGCAGAGGACATGGACAAATCCACTGGTGGCAAATGCCAAGTGTAAATAAAACTATAGAAATCAATCTAGAGTGAATATCTTCTATCAATGTACAACCTGTTCTTCGTGTAGCATGGCATAGTATACATGAACTAAGCAAAGAACAAAAATTCCATAAAACCTGGCCAAGAATGCCTACATACATGCAACATAATAGGAATTTAGGAATGAATAAATCATTTGTGCCATGGAAGAACTTAGAAGCGAGCCCAGCATCGTGTGCATTGTGCCATACAATCTCCCTTACAATCAATATTATAACCCAATACTCTGGGATTGCGAAGGAGCAGGTTTCTAAGTGTCTTTCCTTTGATACTCCATTCTTTTTCCAAGATCTGGACATTTGTTCTAAGTTCATTTTCGAGGCTGCACCCAAGTACCTCTGGGAATTTCTTGAGAAGTTTGCTAATATCTTCATCCGTGAGACCTAATTCCTTAAGATAACTTAGGATTTCACTCACTGCCTCCAACGTTGGTGCTTCTTTCTTTCGCTCTTCACCCCAGTAAGGAGAATGGATTTGACCAAATGCCTTGCCCAGAATTTTATCTTCTTCAGCACTATCAAAGCCAAATGTGGAGAGGGCTTGTTTACAAGATTCCCAAGCCTTGCTGTATTCATTATCAATAATTGCACACTCAGATGGAACAGTAGAGTGCAACTTCCAATTCCTATATGTGGAAGCAATTATCCCATATCCATGGAGGACATCCACAGATACATGGATAAAAGGATTTGCGTTGATAACGAGCTTTCTGGTTGCTAATGAGGCTGAACCAACCTGGACACGAAGTAGGAGCTGCTCTGATCAGGAGTTTAACATTGACAGTAGATAACAGTGTATCAATTCATCATCATCTAAGTCGCTCGCATTTTGCCATTATTGGTAGACATGAAATGAAACACAGGTGTATAGTCCAATATTACTGCACATATATATACATACATAAAATACATGCTTTCATTCTTTAATCATAACATTGGGGCCATCTAAGCACACCGGGAAGAATCAAAGTGATGAACTTTTCAAACGTTACCTAGATTTTTTCTTATTTCTTTGTTCACATTTTTCTTATTTGTTCAAATTGAACTGCTAGGAATTAAAACAACGATAAGAAAAAAAATTTGTTAAACATGCAGTCACGGTGAAACCTATAGATGTATATATACATATATATATATATATATCCAGTGCATAAGTTACAGAAGAAACATACATTAGAGCAAAACCGAGCTTGAGAATCAAACGTCAACGGGGGAGAAAAGAATGATTTAACCAGCATCCTAGGGAAGCAATAAAAAACAAGTTAGTTAGTATCCGAAGAAATTAAAGGGTGGAGAAGGAAATCGGCATGAAAGTTGCAGCAAGAGAGTCCGAAGAAGGCAGCGAGAAGAGAGAAAGAGTTCAGTTAGAGATTGAAAAAATTGAGGAAGGTAAAGGAAGGATTAGATGGATGGACGATTGGAGCAGAATGGTGGCGTGGGTATGGTAGCCTAGCCTGGTAAGAGAATGCCATTTCATCTAATCTCATCTATACCTGTGAAAGCGCAAACGCGATTTATCCAACTCCAATCACGCTCACACACGCTCATGGTGACTCACGAAAACAACAACAACGACAAGGAAAAAAAAAAAAAAAAGGCCATTTAAATGGATTATATAAATTGTATATTGACAACAAAAAAAAATTTCAATCGTGCATATATATATATATGGGCCAATGACAATATATAAAAATATGGCCAATAACAATATATAAAAATATGATAGTATACATATATATATATATATGACCCAAGTGACAATATATAAAAATATGCTAATATATAGAGTGTGTTTGTTTCGTGATATTGTTGAAAAAAAAAAAAATTATAAGAGATATAGGTATCGTGTAGAAAATAAAATGTATATAATGTATTGATTTTTTAAAAAAATATATATAGAAAAAAAATTAGAAAGATAAAGCCATAAAACATTTGTTATAAAAAGAAGTTAAAATTGTAATTTTATTTTAAGAATTTATTTTGTAAAATTTTAAATTTAGTTAAATAATTTAATTTAACTAAGTTTTAAATAAGACATAAATTAAAAATATTATCATAATTAATTAAATCAAAATAATATAGATTCAAATGTTATTCCAATCTTATATCTATTACTTTTTATTTATTTTTTATAATGTGGAACCTACATCGCTACCTGAAAGTGCGCACTAAAGTAAACTACGGCCGAATCTAATATCCTATAAACTAAGCCCGACAGATAAATTATTTATATCTATTACGCTGTGTTATTAATTTTATGTATGGTATATTTTATATAAGTTATTTATTCAATAATCATTATGAAAAAACGAGATTGGAGAAATTTGAACAAAATAGTAACTTGGAAATCAAACACAAGATCCGATCAAATATCATATTAGATTTACGGATTATAAATGAATTCAAGTCTCATGTTGAACACAATTTTCTTAAAGCAAATTTGGTCGGCCATTGATTGTTTTCCGAGATAAAGCGAATTGAATTGGGATCAAGAATCTCACCACGAATCGAACCAATAAATATGGAAATTTTGAAGAAGATAATAACTTTTTTTTAAGAGAGAATGGATAAAACAATTTTCTTTTATTGAAAAAATAAATTAATAATTAACAATTTTTTTAATCACAATGTTTGTTGTGTATTTTAAAAACTTTGAGGAAAAAGTTAATTCTCATTGTATTCGCACCAACGGTTAACATGCTTCAATGAATTGCAACAATTTTTTTTTTTTATCCAATCAATTTGATTATTTTTTTTCTTTGAATTAGTCAAAATAGAATAATAGCATAAAATAAAAAATTGAATTAATTGAATTTTCTTGCGATTGGATTCAGCCCACGAGCCCTAAGATACAAGCCTAATCTTCATTATATATATATATATATATATATATGAGTCCAAGCCTAGTTGAGCTCAATCCAATCTAATTAATTCTTTTATTGTTAGTGGAAGCAAGGGTTGTAAATAAATCAAATAATTTTGTTGATTCAATATTCGATTCGAAATTTTAATATTCATATTCGAAATTTTATGATTCAAATTCGAATAAAAATATTATATTCGATTCGAATATGAATCAAATACAAATATGAAATTTTAATATTTGATCCGTTATTCGTAAATATTCGATTCATTAATGAAAAAATATATACTCCCTCCATCCCATTGAAATGTTGTCATTTTCCATTTAGTTCGTCCCAAACAAGGTTACTATTTCCTAATTTAATAATTGTACTACTTACCTAACACAATAAATATCCTTCCAACTTACACTATATTACACAAATGTCATTACTTTTATATTACACAATACTAATAGGGGTATTTTTGTCTTTTTCACTGCAACTCATTATAATACTAATATTAAAAAATTTACGTGCAAAAAGTAAACGACAATATTGCACCACGACGTAGGGAGTATATAATATAAAATATAATATACATATCCATGTAGTTTCCAATAAAGATAAATTAAACTAAATTAATTAATCATAATACTTTTAAATTTTATATAACTAAATACAATATAATTAAAACTACACTTATACAATGATATATTTAATTATATTAAAACAAATAGTCTTTTTTTGTCAATGTAAAAAAAATAAAAAATAATAAATATATACATTTTTTATCATTTTCTCAAAGTATTATTATTAAAAAAAATTAAAAATAGTCCTAATCAAATCGAAGTAAAATAAAAAACTAATTACATTTTGAATCAAATATTTATATAATATTAAAATTGAATCGAATACTCGAATCGAATCGAATAATTTGAAGATTATTTCGAATCGAATACGAATATCATTTTAAGATTCGAAACGAATCAAATATCGAATCGAATATTCGAATATTTTTTCGAATCGAATCGAATACTGCAGTATTCAATTTGATTTGATTCGTTTACAACCTTAGTGGAAGCATAATACACATAAAGTGGGAGATATTTGTTTGTTCCTCTTACGTGGGACAAGAGTTTCATTTATTTTTCTTTTTCCTCTCTCTCACTTATACATATAATAATATTTTGTTATATTTTGGGTGACTTTTGAAGGAAAATATAGGTAAAATTGCTCATAATTTCTCTATGGTTTCAAATTTAAAAATTTCATGGCATCCCTTATACTTTCAAAAACATTGTATGAAACTCCATCACCATGAAACCTCTCTTGTGTGATGAGAAAATGATTTTCTATCTATATTTTTTGCATAGCGAGGGATTCATGCAACATTTTTAAAAAGTTTAAGAGGACGTCATGCAATCTTTAAAGTAAAGTGGGGATTTACGCTGAGTTTTGAAACCACAGGGGAGTTTCAAACAATATTTTTGAAAGTATAAGGGGGCTCCATAGGAATTTATGCTGAGTTTCGAAACGACAAGGGAGTTATGGATAATTTTACCTTTTATATATGCTCCTGGTGTTGTATTTTTTTTGTTATTTATTCGCTTTGTGGAATAGAAAAATTTTGGGCACTTGCTATGGAACAAAGGGACAAAATGCATAACAGACTTAAGGTATGATCACGTATAAGGACAACACAGTATGAGAAGAATGAAAATTACAAAAAAGATCATTTAGGTAAATTGGTAATTTAAGGATTATTGGGTATAAAATTGCAAAATGAATCTAATGTTGAGAAATAAAAGCACAATATGCAATTGAAGAGAGATGGGAGAAACGCATAATCACATTTTATACACGACAAGTATGTCGGAAAATAAGGCTCCACTAGTCATCAAGAATTGAAAGGAGAACAAGACGCAAGCAAGAGAGAAGTGTGGAGAACTTCCAAGCACAATGCAGACGATTTTCGGGTATTCCTGCTTTATTCTTAGATTGGTATTTTTTAATGTTTTTCTAAGATTGAAGACATGATAAACTTCTTAATTTGTTTTGCGTTTTCAATTTCTATGAATTGTGAGTAATTTGTTTTCTAACTTAAGTATTAATTGAAGTTTGGTATATGGATTTGTAAGGCGTTGATTTGATTTTAATTTAATATTTATTGGTATTAGGTAATTTTAATTTCTTCATCTTACAAGATTAGAAGTCTTAAATTGATATTTGTGGCCACATATTAGTTTGAAATTTATAACTATATTGAAGATTGAAACCTGTAATTGTTTAATATTTTAATTGAAGTATCAACCTAGAGAAAGAATAATCTAGGGAGAAACTAAAATCAATTTTGAACAGATTCTCGTAGGAATATTGTTAAATTGAATTGTTTTTTTTTTTTTTTTTAATTCTCAATGTTGTTGAGTTATTAAACATTACGATCGTACCTATGGTTCTCACTCGATTAGGCAAATAGCTAACAATCATATCTTAGCTATCGAAAAAGTAATGAAGGGTTGATTGTAAATGCATCTAGATCAACGATAACTAATTTATCTAATAAATCAATAAACTTGATTATTGTCGATGAACAAATTTTTATATCCCGGACGAAAATTCGTGCTTAGGCTAGAATTTAGTCAATTTTGGAATTTGGTTATCTTGTAGTTTGATATGTTTTCTTTCTAGTTTGAATTATTTTTCTTTTTTATTTAGCGTAGCAAATCAACTCCCCATCATTATATATATATATATTAATACAATTATAAATAATCAAGTGGTCAAATCATGATTGCTTCCCTATGAAGACGATCCTACTCACTACATTATATTGCGTTTTGTATTTTTTGTGATATAATAACTAATGTTTTATTTTGCAGTTGTACGACAGGCTAGCATTCGCATTCACAAACTAACAATCCATCACATAAAAAAGGAAAGGATGATGACTCGACGAATGAATTTTGCTTGGGACAAGTAGGTTCCCCTTTGACTTTCCCTTGAACATATGTAGTCTTTACTAACTATCCAGTAGATATGTTATCCTTGAATTGTTCAGTTTTTAGTAATTGAATTACATTCTGACAAAGAATTCATATTCCTAGTTTGGTCCATTTTGGTAATGAAACTTATCCTAATTTTGCCAAACTTTCTAAAAAAACTAAGTCTAAACAGTTCTCCTTTGAATCGGCCACACTTTTTTCTCACATATGTGATTTATCTAAGTTTTGGGTAACCCAACACTCATTTAGTAATCTTTAAAGTAATCATTTGTTATCCTCTTATCATTGTTTGTTAGAGAGAAATAAGTCGAGGCTTTTCAGTCCCCACAGTGACACACACAAGTCTTATAGCAAGATTGTCCTATTGAACCTAGTTCTTGGCATCTCCAATCTTTCCATGTTAGGTTTTCTTTTATAAAACTTATACTCTAGCTGGATTAAGCCTCATTTCTCTAGTCAATTTGTAAACTGCATTACGACTTAACTATTGATTAGTATATCCGTTAGATTGTCCTTTACGCTACATGTTCAATGGCAATAACCTTTGTTGTAATCAATTGTCTTACGGAATTATGTTTCCAACAAATGTATCGACTCTAACCATTATACATTGTGCTCTATCCGC